CACTGCGAGAGGAGTGGCTAGTGGAGGATGATCGGGATGGATTGTGAAAACAATCCTGCTGCAGATGACCAGGACCAAGTTTGTTGCAGTATCGGCAGGATCTGATAGGGCAATGGACCAGGAGATGAGTTGAAGGAAGGCCCCGATTCTGACAATATATGCAGATAGTGGTCCATTGGGTCGATGATGGCCGTGACTGAGGAATGGCAAGAACAAAGTCCATATGATGAGTTTGGAGAGTACCAAGATGTGTTTCCTCATATAGTAGCTCAGAAATAGCTTGTCCAAGAGTGGGCAACGGAAGGCGATGAAGAAGAGAGGCACACACGGGCTCAAAAGAGGGAGTGAGAGCCATGAAAAAGTGAACCAACCGCTGCTGATTACGATAGGTAGTAAATAAAGCAGCATCTTCTCGGTGAGGCCATGCCGGTTTGGACTGAGCAATCTGGTCCCAAACAGAATACATTTGAGAAAGAAAGTCATTAATAGATTAATTGGATTCTTGGCGCATGCAGTGAAGTTGGCTTTGAAGTTGATTTTGATGGGCAAGACCAGTAGTCTGGTATCGTTCTTTCAAAAAATCCCAGATGTCTTTTGCAGGAGTGGTTACAGACTCAAGCTGAAAACGACCAAACTGAAGACTGATAGAGGGAACAGAGGTATTTCGAAACCAGGTAATGATCTAGTAGTTCTTACTGTCCTATTCCTCAAGTCGGTCTTTATATGTAGCAACAGTAGCAGTAGTTGCATTGGTGTCTTTCACCTGTTGGGTCACATCCCCGGTGATAATGCGCCAGAGCTTCTTTCTTTTGAGGAAAGAAGACATGGCTTGGGCCCACAGAACATAGTTGGAACCATTAAGAATGACAAAAATTGGATGAGAGGCATCATGACGATCTACAATAATAGTTGAGTAGGGCTAAATAAATAGGAACAAACTTGTAGGAGCAAAATTAGGTAAAACAGAGTGTACCAGTGAGTTCGGAAGGTCGAAAATAGCTAGGAAAAGTGTGCTGTGCTGTGCAGAGATGACGTCAGCAGAGGCTAAAATGATGACAGCGGTGCACAATAGCAGGTTGCAGTCAGGAGCACGATAACAGGAAGGGCGTGCGGCGCACCGTAGCATATTGGCGTACCCGCGGCGCACGGGAGCAAACTAGAGCACGCGGGTGCACAATAGCGGAACGGCGCACGTGAGGCGCACAGCAGCAGGCGCGATGCACGAAAGAGCAAGGCTGACGTCAGCCGCTAATGTGAGCAGGCAACGGAGGGTGCGTGAAGGCGCGTGTGTGAGTGGCGGCGGAAGCTGAGACGCGCCGAACACAAAGGTGGCACGTGGAGACGCGTGACGGCGTTTCTGGTGACGGGCGTGGTGTCGTTGGAATCATGAGGTGATTCCGAGCTGTTTGGTGTAGTGCCACTATGTACGAGACTAAGCACCAAAAACAAAAAATGCTAGAAATGTATAACTGGGCTCTGATACCATGTAAGATGAATTGATAGAGAGAGAGGGAATACATTGAGTGTATTAATTATATTGAATGTACATGTTCTATCAATTACACAAAGGGAAGCTCACTTTCTTTTATAGAGAGGAGAGTACATAGGATGCCAAAGAGGCACCGAAAGCAGAAAGCAGAAACAAAGATAATGGTTTGCTTTACTTTACATAAATATATGACAACTATTTACACTAACATCCACGATCAATTTTCAGATTCAAAGTAGAAATCATGTTCTTGATCTTATTTATCACTTTGGACATCTCGATTGCAGATCTATCGCTTATATCACAACGATCTTACAAGGCTTTTAACATTTCTTCTTGGCTGCGAATATCTTGACGTTGAGTCCCTTCCGCTATGGATTCTCTACTCCAAGGACCGCAAAGATCTGATACCACTGATAAGCTAAGAACATAAACAAGTTTATTGAACAATAGAATTCTTTTTACAGAGACAAAACATACCAACTATAAGATCTCTACTCTATTTTATACCTATGTCAACCTAACTAATTGATTCCAAAAAATTCCCCACAAATCCCTAATCTCTACTCTTGTTTGGTCGACGTGTCTAGTAAATTGTGTCTCTAACTAGGGCTACAAATGGACAAAGAAGTTCGTGAACATGCTCGAACTCGACTCAATAAAATCTCATTCGAACTCGGTTCGTTAATTTTTTTTTTTGCGTTCGAGCTCAAGCTCGTTAAATTTTTAATAAACAAGTCCAAACATTCTAAAACTCAGCTCGTAAGTTCGGCTTGTTAGTTGGTTCGTTTAATATTTATTATTTATATATTAAATAATATAAAAATATGTATAAAAAATAGTAGAATTTTTTTTAAGGTCTCTGGTATTAAGATTTTACAACATAAAGGACACTCAATATTTTCATAATGTCTAAGATCCCTCAAGTTGATTCAGAGAAAATTGGTCCAGAGAAAATTGGTCTAGAAAAAATTAGTCCAGAGAAAATTCACCTCAAGAGAAATTCCCATCCAGAGAAATTTCATCTAAAGAAATTCTGGATTTCCCAAAGAATTTCTCTAGGTTCAACCCAGAAAAAATTCAAATTTCTCTGGGTTCATTTTGACCAATTTTCTCTGGGTTCAAATTCAAATTCTAATTCAAATTTCTTTGAGTTCATTTATAAACCAGAGAAAATTCAAATTTCTCTAGAACCGAACAGCATGCAAAATCAAATATTAATATTTAAATGAATGTAAATCCCTAATCATGTACTATTGAAACAGTGGGCTATATTATATATGCTACAGGTGGTTCGGTGCTCCAGTGCTTCGGAAAACAAACAGTAGCATGCAACAATTTTTTTAATTATTTAAATCTAATTAATAAAAGTCACAAATTACAATTAGCAATCATGAACTTCATGTATAAAATAGTGACTGTACACATGCCCCATTTTCAGTAGTACCGAATAATGCAACAAAATTTTTGATCCCCACCATTTTCACCATATATAAAATTTCTTTGAAGCTTCGTACCTCTTATCCTCTAAGAACACTCCATCACTGAAGCTTTGCGCCTCTACTAAGATCTAGATCCATAACTTCGCAGCTCTCGTCTCCGCCTATCGTCGCTCGTCCCTCCGCGCACGTCGACACAATCTCTAGAAGTTTTAGTGATTTCTCGATCACCGACGCAACATTGGATTGAGGCTGCGATCGGGACACCAAAGAATCGAAAAATGAGGGCTCTTGCAGAGAATGCAGAAGGTTCTTGGGTCAGCAATGAGAGTAGCGGTGAAGAAAAGGCGGCTTCTTCGAATGTGTCGAGCCCTACCGCCATTGAAGCTATATATGTATATTTGTGTATGTAATGTAGAGAGAGAGAGAGAGAGAAGTGGGAAGGTGAGGTTTGATTTCAGTCAAATTTCTCTGTGATATATGGTTGTGGAAGTTGAGGGACCTTAGACATCATAAAATAATATTGTGAATCTCTTCCATTACTAAAAATGGGAGAGAGACCTTAAACTAATTTTCCTTAAAAAATAAGATAAATATGTTATTTATATATTTAAAAAATATAAATGTAAATAATAGTTAACTATAGATAGTACATTTATATAATAGTGGTAGTAAATATTATTATTTTGATAAAATGTTGCCTTTTTTTTTTTGAATGTTCATATATATTGTATATATAATTATATAATCAAAATTTTAATTGTAATTTTAGTCTTATGTGCAAGTATGAATTTATAATTTTTTTGACTCATTAAAGCTTGTAAAAAGGTTCGAACTTGAGTCAAGCCTAAGCCAACTCTGCTTGAGTTCGGTTCATTAAATTTTTATTGAGCTCGAGTTTGAACTCAAGTTCATTAAAATTTTAATAAATAAGTCTAAACATACTAAAACTTGACTCGGCTCAATTCGCCTCATCTCATCTCGTTTCACCTCTCTTATGACTGCCATTGCATCACTATCACAAACCACCAACACAATCAATTCACCTTGCCACCACTGCCCATTAGTAGCCCACCAAACACCAAAAATAAGTGAAAGGAAAAAATAAACTAGACAACTAATAAATTTCAAATATCGAATACATACCTAGCAACACAATTTTACAAACAACTTAATGAAATTCATGGCTGAATTTTTTGTACAAACCAAAAATATTTCATATTAAAAAATTCGGGTACCGTTTGGTTGCATTTTTGAATCTGTATTTCAAAATCCAAACCTCAAAACTTGTTTGGTTTTGGATTTTGAAAACTCTTTCTAAAACCCAAACTCTTTTTGAAACTCAAAACTCTTTTTCACACTACATAACTCAAATATATTTTTCTCTTTTTCAAGTATTGGCCAAATAATATTTTATGCATATATTTAATTAATAAACAAAATATGAAAAAAGTAAAACCAATTTAATAAATACATAACATATTAAACTTGTATTTGTTTTTAAACTGAGTAAATTTTTATTTTATTTTATTTTTATATATTTGTCCTTGCTCAGTAATTCTATAAGAAATTTTCATAAATGTGAAATGATTTAAAAATATGTAGTGTGAGCAGATATAAAACCAAAAAATATATGTTAAAATTTCTAAAACGTTCATAAAAAATAATAAATATAGAGTAAAACTATACCATATACATTAAATTAGATGCATCTAAAATACAGTTAAATTATGTACATGAAAATAAACAAGTTTGAAATTAGTTTCGAACAAATTTTTTGACTACTAAGGTAAAAAAAACACAAGACCCAAAAAAACTCAAAATTGAGTTTTAAAAACTCATAACCAAACCAGTTTTGAATTCAACTTTCTAAAAACTCTTTCAAAAATTAATTTGAAAACTCATAACCAAAGAGGTTTTGAATTTTAAACTCTTTTGAAAATTAATTTCAAAACTACACCAAACGCACAACAACACTTCAAAAAGGAATTTAAATTCCAAGCTAATCCACAGTGGCACACCAAATCCTCTTTTCCTAAAAACACGATTGATTTTTCTAGAAGACCAAATAATGGAATAAATGATGTTTTAAACTTTTAGGAATTCCAACTCAGTCAGCAACATTCATTCACAGTTCAAAATCAAGGGCTTAACCAGCACTTGAAGTTACACACTTTGAACTCCGTAATAATAAAACTGACTCAGTTACAGAACACTAACAAGAGACAAATCACAAGAACGTTGGACTTTGCTAAGCGAAATTACAAATACGCGGTTTACTAACAAGGTTCATGGAAGAAACAGAAACAGGTTGAAAATAAGAAGAAACAAAGGTTTTACAAACCGATTGCTTGGAAGTCTCTTTCTACTCCTCAGGATCGAGACCTTTCTCTTGGAGGAGGTGAACGACTGCATTGTCAATGCACTTAAAATATTAGTCAAGAGACTCAAGACTGCACTGCACGTAAATACAACTTTGACAAATCATAAAGAAAAGGGTAAATTATGCAAATGGTCACTAAAGTATATCACTAATTTCATTTGTCCTTAATATTTAATTTATTTCAGTTGTATCCCTAAATTCCATACGTTAATCCAATTTAGTCTCTTCCCTTAATTGTTGTCCATAGAACAGATGAAAAATACTTTGGTCAACCTCACATCAAGCATCGAAGGGCATGGATGACATTTTAACACATTTATTTAAGTCAAATACCATCAATCAACTAGCCAAAAGCTATGTATTTGGTTCTCAGTAATGAAGTGAAAGGTTTCGATGTGGTTTGCTTTGTAAATAATGCGCATGTCAAGTATCTCGCAGTTCATTTAAGAGGGAAAATGGAGTAAATCCTCTTAAATGCCTAATCTGAGGTTGACAAAAAGCATTTTTCATATATTTCAAGATGCCAGTAACAGTAGGGGACATAATCTATGAAGCACGGATACTCCGAAATGGCCCCCGTACGCGTATCAGATACGGATACGCGCCCGATACGGCGGGATACGTATCAGATACGGAAAATGAAGTATCTATTTTTTAAAAAAAATTTTTGAATTTCGGATACGTCTAGGATACGCGAGGATACGGTTGGGATATGGCGGGGCAAAAAAATAATTTAAAAACTTAAAATGGGGTCAAAGTATAAAATATGAAAATAAGATAAAATAAAACACACACACACACAAAAAAAAAATAATCAACCAAACTTACCTAAACCTAGGTCGAACAGCAGCCGCGAAGGAGAAGGAGGAGGAGGAGGAGGAGGAGGAGTCTCTCGTCTCGAACAGCAGCTCGACGGTCGTCGATCAGGTTCGCGAACAGGAGCTCCACGGTCGTCGATCAGGTTCGTCCCTCTCTCTCTCCCTTTCGCTCCCTCTGTCTGCCTCTCACTCGATCTCACGAACTCTCTCTCTCCCTCTCCCTCTCGCTCGATCTGTCAGTGTCTCGGACAGATCGCGATCTCACCTCCCCCCCTCTTGGTCGATCTCTCTCTCCCTCTCCCTTTTATCTATGTCGTCTCTGTTTTGCATATTTATTTTTATTATTTATTTTTATTGTATGTATACTCCGTAAATAAAATAAAATAAATCAAATAAGATATTAAAAAAAAAAAAACTTTGTATATGTATTCGGGTACTATTACCTGAATCCTGATAAAACAAATAAATAAATAAACTTATTATAAAAAAAAAACTTTGTAAACTTATAAAATTATAAACTTTGTAAACTTATTAATAAATCAAATAAGGTAAAAAAACTTATTAATAAATAAATAAATAAACTTATTAAAAATAAACTTTGTCAACTTATAAAATTATAAACTTTGTAAACTTATTAATAAATCAAATAAGGTAAAAAAAACTTATTAATAAATAAATAAACTTATTAAAAATAAAATTTGTCAACTTATAAAATTATAAACTTTGTAAACTTATTAATAAATCAAATAAGGTAAAAAAACTTATTAATAAATAAATAAATAAACTTATTAAAAATAAACTTTGTCAACTTATAAAATTATAAACTTTGTAAACTTATTAATAAATCAAATAAGATAAAAAAAACTTATTAATAAATAAATAAATAAAAATTCAGCAAAATTGTTGAAGTTTTATTTTATGTATGTTACATTACTAAAAATTGTTGAAGTTATATTTTTGTGTATACTACATTACTAAAAATTGTAAAAAAAATACTTTTTATGAACGTATCCCCGCCGTATCCGTATCCTACTTTTTCGAATTTTGTCGTATCGCCGTATCTGTATCGTATTGTACCCGTATCCCGTATCCGTATCCGTGCTTCCTAGGACATAATTGATTTACTGTGTGAAGTTTAGGGATGCAATTAATACAAATTAAATACAAAGAACCAAAATGAAATTCATGGGATCCTTTAGTTTAGGGACTATTTGCGCAATTTACCCTAAATAAAATAAAACCAAAGCCAAGACAAAATCACACTTCTGAATGACCATTTCAGAATAGTACTAACCTGAGATCTCTCGCATTGACTGGGCTATCTCCCCCATCATAAGGGGTACTTCCCCTCTGTTCAGGTCTGGCATTGGGTCTGGATCCATGTCCATAGTCAGGGCTACCCCTATCTCTATGATATGGACTGGGAGAGCGCCCACCCCGATCATAACTTCTTCTCTGTGGAGACATGTCACGCCCTCTCCTATCTGGGCTGTTTCCATTTCTTCTGTCATCATCGTCTCGAACTGCATATTCCACTGAAATAACTCGGTCCATGAGCTTGCTGTCATCATTATTTAACAAAGCAAAGTCAGCATAAATCAGGTTTGTTATGATTTGGAAACAAGCACGGAGAAAGCTCTAGAGGTCAAAGGCATGTTTGGGGAAACCTTGGAACAATACATCAACATGGCCTTCAAGAAATGCTTGTTATATATATATATACACACTACAGAAATTTCCTGTGCCTGAAGACACTTCATAATTTGGGAAACAACACTAACCGTTAGATTTATTGAATCTTAACCCTCAATTATGCCACATAGGACATTTTTCAAAAACTGAGAATGAAATACAATGCTCGAGTACACATTTTTCTTTTAACCATTACCAACTTTGAGAGGAAAATTTGGTCTTCTGCTTCCAACTCATGTTATGTCACAATAATAAGAAGGTAAATAAGAGCAATTACCGCAAGTTCCCACCCCCCAAACCCACCTATAAAAAAAACTACTCCCATGAATTCCGCTCTCTCCATCCGTCCCCCATCCATCTTCATTGCATTGCATGATAAAAAAAACTACATTGTCCATGCTTCATAGGCCATATCATCTCTCTATTCACATCAGTTAACTATATGCATTGCATGACAAACATTCAAAGAGCATAACGTTGTGGTACTGAAATTCAGCATATAAGATAGCAGAAGTTATTTTTCCTCAAAATTGCTTCCAGCGAAATGTAAAATTGTGTTTGGCTGAGTTTCAAATGAAAAAAAGATTGAAAATTGGTTTGGTTTATTGTTCTAAAAAATTATTCTCAGAAAAATGAGTTAAAAAAATGTCATGTAAACAAAAATATATATTTTCAATAAGAAATATTGAAATGACCAAAGTCTTCTCAAAATATTAGCAGTTTTCAGGAAAAAAATTCAGAGAACTGAATCCCAAAGCTACGCAAAACACATACACATCTTTCAATAGGAAAATCTTCAAAACATTAAAGAGTCCATGAGAGTAACCTCAAGTTTGTTGCATCCAATGCTCTGGTAGCATCTTCTTGTGTTTCGTAATGAATGAAGGCAAAATTCCTTCTGATCCTCACATTTAATACTTTTCCATATGGTTCAAAGTGCTTCTCCAGGTCCCTTGTCCTAGTATGGATCGTGTCAAAATTAATGACGAACAATGTTTTTGAGGGTCTTGTATTAGCTGAAGGCCTTCTAGAGCTTCCAGGCCTTCTAATATCACGTTCTTGCTGCAACAAAAAAATTGTTCGGATCAAATCATTGAGTTTGAAGTCTAATTACTAAGGGGAAGCTTTGACACCAAAGGGCATTCAATGTGGTCCCTCTTGTAACGTTTTAGGTTAAACAAGATTCTTTTATTAAATGTAGTAGAAAACATGGGAAGAAGAGAAAACAAATATAGAAGAAAGGAAGAAGGGAAAACTCCTAGCCGAGAGGGGGTTGAGCACCAAAACGAACATAAAATTACTGAGGTCATGTTTAGAATCCCATTGTTAATCTAAAAAAAACATGCTCATTAAAAATGATAAGAAAAAACACAATACACGGATAACATTTCAATATAGTGCTCAAACAACCCCAAATCATCACCCACAATACCTTAGTCCACTCAATACGAAGCCGGTGGCCCTTTCTACCAAATTCAATCCTGTCCAGTCTTCGAATTGCATCCTCAGCATCTCGCTCATCTTCCATGTAGACAAAAGCAAATCCTGTATGGTTAAAATGGTAAGGACTGAAGTAGAATAATTTTAGTTTTTATAACCACATCTAAAGACAAATGATATATGCAAAACCTGGTTTGAGAAGCCTCCCATGAAGACACGTCACAATAAGACAAAATGTTTACTGATTCCAATTAAACCACAAAAAGAAAAAGGGAAAAAAGAAGAAGAAAAAAAAAGCAAAATAAAGTAAACACAACACCTGCCACTGGATCCGAGAGGATCATGATTTCTATGTTGAGCAAAGGTCATGAAGAATGAAAAAGCAATAGTGTCACAGGGAAATGTAGGATGGTGGTGCCATGGCAGACCAGATTGGTTCTTCTGGAAAAACACAAGAAATATGAACCTTGGGCACAAACCAGATATGAAATGCAGTGGACCCATTCATCCAGGTAGAGAGCATGGACATTCCAAGTAATTCCTGCGCCAAAGAAATCGTTGAGTTTGGGAGTTTACACCACAAGAAAAGACTCATTTTCCCAAAGGAAAAATATCATACACATACCATTCAAAAATAATTATTTCAAAAAGCATATTGACCCTTTAGAAAATTAGCTGAGAGCATTCACTAAGATTTATAAGATGGTGCCTTCCTTAAGATAAGTTCAAAAAATAATGGAACTGATGCAAATTTTAAGGTTTACTCCAATACGAAGGACAATAGGTGAAACTCAATGTCAAAAGACTCATAACAAGAAAAGTGCCCTCTCTTTCTCTCACTTTTCTCTCACTTACACTTTGAGTGGAAGCAAACAAAGACTTCTTTTATAAAAACAATTCAATACACAAGGAGAGGGCATTGCCATCATGTAAATTTTTTAAAACACTTTTTTTAAAATATTTTTTTTTATTATAAATATCATTCCACTATAAAAGTTGAAGGTTCTGATTAGAAACCAAGTTAGTCAACATGACCATAGTATTTTTATGCGGTGTGGAATGCTATGAGAAAGGGTCAACAGTTTCATTCTGAAATGATTATTTTCTCATGATTGTATATTGAACTTTTCCTTTATTACACTTATCCCAGAACCCAACTAAGACTTGATAGAGAACTCTTCCACTGCCACCTCTTGTGGTTTGAATAATGTTGTAGCCATGCAAGGGAAGAGCCAGAAAAGTAGAGGCTGTCACATTTCATTTATTACACTCAACATCCAAGAATCTCACTACAACTCAAAAGAATGCTACTATCCATGCCTCATGTACTCTGAAAAGTGTTGTGGACATGCAAGAAAATTGCCAGGTAAAATATAATCTGCTACATTTCTATGAGGGCATTCATCCCCTGTTGAATTACTTGGAAGCTCTGTGACCACTGCTGAATCCTAAAATCCATACTTTATAAAGGTTTTCTAGCTACCAATTAACATTAGGGTTGCAGACATATAAAATTACGAGTTTGACTTCATATTGTACTTGCATCGTACAGGGTATACAATACATAGATGCTTCAATTAGAAAACTCTGCCTAACTTTAATAAAAAAGAGGCAAAAGCTTAATTCAGCTAGAACACCAAAATTTGATAAAGACTTTTGCACAGCTTACTGATACTTTTAATTCTTACAGCTTGGTCACCCCAGGTAGTATCAAAATAATGGGCATAATAGAGATACAGCAGTAGAGTAAGAAAACACTAGTTTATAAAGACACAGGCAACCAAATCAAAGGGAAATAACACATCAATTTATAACATACCAGATTTCATATCCACCCTATCAACTCTCCCATATCTTTTGAAAAGTCGCTCAACATCTGACTGGCGAGCATCATACTCTAGGTTGCCACAAAATATCGCCCTCATATTCCTCAAGCTCGAATTGAGAAAATCTTTATTGACTCTAATTAGAAAAAGAGTGCAAAAAAACAAAGAAGAAATGAAACAAGGACAAAATCACCAGTCAGATTAATGTTCTAAGAAGAACCATCCAAGATCGACCACTAATATAAAATAAGAGCAATAATTCTTTACAAAATTAACTATGAGATAACCATTAAATAATCACCTCAATTGTATGGAAGTATATCATTCCAAGGTTATTTCTCAAAAATAAAAAAAAAAAATGCACATAATGCATACAACACATCTAAAAAAAAAGTACACAATAAAAGAGAAGATAATTGATAACACCTAGTGATTCGTAAATCTCATAACTTGAGATGGAAAACTTGTTGTGTTTGGTAGAGTTTTCTAGTTATGATTTGAGAATATGAGTTGTATTTTGAGTTTATGAGTTTTGGAATTATGATTTGAGTGTAGAAAATTTTTGTTTGGTGAATGAGTTTTGAAAAGAATTTTGAATTGAGTGGGAAATTTTTGATGTGACATATGTTAGCTGATATAAAAATTTACAACTCATAACCAAATATACAACTTAAAAATCTATTAAAACCTCATAAATTTTTTTAAAAAAATTCAAAAATATTGTTTTATTAAAAATATAAAAAAAACACACAAGTGCAAAAAAATAAAAAAACACACTGTAGGGGTCAACCGGCTGGACGACGGGCCGGACATCCGGTAGGCCAAATTTCAAAATTTAAAAGCCCACCTGGAACGAGTTTTCAAAACAAGAGGTGGAATTAACTTTCCAAAACTCAAACCAAACATCATACTAGAGTATAAAGGTGGAACTATAATTCCAAAACACTTCCAAACACAGCCTTACTTTTGACAATTACAACTAGGAAAATGAAAAAATAAAAAAAGGAAAGTACTTACAAAGAAAAATATACACTAAGTCTAACCTAATTTGTAAAACTAAGGGTCAGAGAAGTTTCTGTGAGATTTTTACATAAGATTCTTTTTCTTCTAAAATAAAATGGTCCATGCTAATTTTGGTTAAAGCGAAAATGATTACTTTCTTAATTCAAAGACTGTATAACAAGAATACCTCATCATTTCACCAAGAATTGCATACTGAATCTTTTTTGCAAAGAATAAGAAATATTGTAGTATCCATTTTTAATTTGTCAAAAGGGAAGTACAAGAAGCTAAAAACCATGCATACAAACATGGATATGTATATGAACAAGAACACAACAATTTTTGAAAAACCAGAACATGGACACGGTAGGGATACATCAAAAACATATTATTCTATATATATTGTATTTGCTATGTATGTGACTATTGCACTGAGAACATTACAAACAATTAAAATAATGAAAACTAACTGATTCAACATGAAAAAATCGCTCCATTCATAGTTTAAACATCATTCAATACACAAAATACTATTTTGTCAATCATAAACCATTAAATCACAAATGTCAAAGGCATATAATTTAATAATGAATAGGCCATCCTTCAAAAATAAATAATCACAAGTCATATGTATCCCAGGGTGTGTCTGGAAGCAAGACACGTGTTTTTGATGTGTTCCCAACATATCCAATGAGAAAAACAATAGGCATGCCATGTGGCATGTCCAACATGTGTCCTGGTGTCTCTGAGACATGTTAGTGTCGAACATGGCTGTGGTGGCTAATTTGGAATGTCCGTGCTTCATAAGGAAGTCATGCATGGAGGGAAGGATGTGGGCAACAACTAATAAACCAAAGTAAAGATTAACTAAAGAACTTAAAGGGATCAATTTCTTCTCCATAAGTGAACAAACCAGATTGACTTCAATATGGAAAGGTTAACCCTCATCAAACTCAATGCTTATTTTTCATCATTCTAGGAAGCTAAAATTGACCAATGATGATGGGCTGCATTGAGTATAACATTTCCATTCTTTCCAAAAATAAACAATTGCAATTGGCCAGCTCATTCTATCATAAAGAAAGCAAACATATATATTTATTTTCTTATTTTTGTTTTCATTATCTGAAAACACAAGAAACTTGTTTGACAAATGGTTTCCAAAAATTGTTTTCAGATAAATTTTAAAAATAGCCCACTTTTATAGTAAACATATAAAGTTATCTTCAGATTTTCAAAAACTGTTTCGGCACAATAATGAAAATGATTAACATTTTGGAAATTTTCATTCTTTTCGTTTCCGAAAACATGAAAAAATAAAAATAAAAATAAAAAAACAAAAAAGGAAGAAAACAAAACCCAACCAAACAATTGTCTTTGAAATTATAAGATACTGAATTTCCTATACAAAAAAGAGTAGTTGCCCACACTCATACAAGTTTCATGATTTCCATTTGGTACTTCGAAGTAACTAGAAGAGCATGCCTTTTAGTAAAATATGAAAGAATAATGTATTTCATTACACATGATGGATAACACAAAAGAAATAAAATACTGCATTTGTCTGATCAGTGAATTTCCCAAAGCTGTTTTTTTTCATTGTGGACTACTATGTGCTCGCTCTCAACTGTCAATCTTCATGTACACACATGCCCTTGGTGTGATTCATTATAATTTAAAATCACAAACTAAACACATTTTCAATATCTTTGGACTCACTATCCAAAAAAATGTGATGTTCATGGAAAAAAAAAAAAGTTTAAATCAGCAACCCCAAAGTGCAGTTGATCGAATACAAACTTCAAATTATATTACCAGTAGCATTTTTTTTTTCTACTTTCTTCCTCTTTTTTTTTTTTTTGGAGATCTGAAATGAATCGATGCAAGCAAAAATCTCCAGATCAAACTATAAACATCCAGTTCAGAAAAATAATTGTATTAAATTATGAAACAGAGATCAGACTTTGTACCTCTGGTTGAAGCTTCCCGATCAGACGATCCGAGAATCTTTGATCGTAGTAAATCCGAAGCCGTAAGAAAAGAAAAAAAAAAAAAATCAGATCTGATGAAATACTGAAATAGAGTTGTGCGATCCACCAAGAACAATCACATCTATAGATACGTAAATACATGTAAATGCAAACATATAGAGAGAGAATCCACCTGAGTAGCTTTGCAAAGATCGGCACTGTAGTTGGTACACGACGAAGAACTGAGAAGAAAAAGCATTTCTTGTGATTGGGTTGGGCCATATCGTGTGGTTGGGCTGGGCTTGACACCAAGATGGACCCAACATTTAATGGGTTCCATATCGATTTTCCCCGTTTTGGGATAACTAGTGGTTGTGCTATGGGGTACACAGTGTAATTTGAGCGGTTTAAGAATAAAATTATAAATTGAATGGTGAATTGGTAGATTGACAAATCACGATTTGGAAAGTTTTGAACAGATTAATGGATTGAAGAATATTCTAACTAATTATCAAAATATTACATACTATATAACACTAATTTACACAATATTTATATATATATAATACAAACTAATTTTACTTAATATGTTTGATATATATAATTATTAATTTGTAATAAATTTCACATCTTAAATTTCTCTCACATTTATTTTTATTTTGATATTTTATTAGAGATTAAAAAATATATATATTTTAATCATAGCGGAGCAGAACGGTTTCGAAGGTGAATTATAAATTTTAAAATTTAATTCGCAGTTAGAAAATAGAACTATGTGGATGAATGCAAATTAATATAATTTTAACAGATCAGACAATATTTTACACATGTCTAATTTTGCACGTGCAACACATGGTATGTCATTAATGCATTTTAAATGGGAAATTGCATTAATAATATGAAGGAAATTCATAGGAAGTTAATGATATAAATTATTTTCAAATCGATCAAATCAATAATATATAAGTATTTTAAATAAAGTATATATTTTAAACAAAATGAAAAAGAGATATGACACATGTAATATGTCAAATATCTCATACCAACAATGAATAGGTAATTGTTCATTATTAAGTTTACTAGTTATTAATGTAAAAGTTTGCTGGCCGATTTACATGTGGATGTGTTGTTTTTTAATGAAACTCAGGTATAAATTTCAATGAAAAATCATTTAACGTAGTTTGTTTTGAAAACAGAATTTGTGCAAACAGTAAGGTGGAGGCACGTGGAGACCAAGGGGTCACGTACCCCCTCAAATTCTAGAAAAATTAACATTTTTACTTTTATTTAAAACACATTTTTAATTAATTCATTTAAAATTTCAAGTATACCTCTTAAATTTTTGTACCTCCTCTTATTTATTTATTTATAGTTAACAAAATCCTTGCAAAATTAATGAGTTAGTCCATTAAAAAAATCTTTGCATTTCACTGTGAGTTTATAGGTTCAAATATCTTAATTTATTTTAGCGGGTAATTTGTTGGTTGTATTATCCATGTATTTATTTACGATTTTTGTCTCATACTTGAGAAGTTTCTTTTTATTAATTAATGATTTATTGGTTGTAATCACTTTGTTTAGATGTTGTTTTTCCAACTCAATTTTTTGAAAATTTTAGAGGACTTGTTTGGTTATTCAGAAAACTAAACATACTTTTCAAAAATGAATTATTGCAAATTGAAGTTCTTCTCCAATTTAAGGAGAGAGACAATTTTTAAAAAAAAATTATCACATCAAAAAATACTCTCATCTTATATATATATATATATATATGTGTGTGGGGGTGTGCGCGCTATATATATATATGAAAACATAATTTGGTATGTAGCCATTTATGGGTATATATCCTACTATTAAATGTGTGACTTTATCATAAAATTTGCACTCATTTCAACCACAAAAAATGTAATTTTTTTTACAAATTGGCATTAAAAAAAAAATCGCAACTAACTTACAAACTTTTGCAGCATGAAGTACAAAAAATTTGGACATTTTGTTATGCCAATTTCAGACGATGTTACACATGTTTGTGTTAATGTTACGATATTGTGTGATAAAATAAATTTTCTGAATAAAATTTATGAAAATTTAATTCTACGTAAGGAATTTTTTAATGCCAATTTGGAAAAAAAATTTACGTTTTCTGTAGTTAAAATGAGTGAAAATTTTATGATAAAATTACACAGTTAATAGTAGGATATGTACCTATAAATGATTACATACCAAATAATGTTCCGGCAGTGATAGGTAGCTCGAAACCGAGCGGCTCAAAATGGCTCGAATTCAAAAACGGCCTCGTTTTTGAGATGAAGGTGAAGCAGAACCAGAAGAAGGAGAGGGAGGAGGAGGAGGAGGGGAGAAGGGGAGGAGGAGGAAGGAGGAAGGAAGAGGGACTGGAGGAAAAGGAGGAGGAGGAGGAGGGACTGGAGGGGGCCCAACATTTGGGGCTGGAAGCGGGGGCCGGGAGGAGGAGGAGAGGGCCATAAAAATCGATTGGAGGAGGAGGAGGGGAGGCTGGCCAGACGACCGGGGCTGGCAGACAACAGTGGTGCTGCAACGTCGGCGGGGCTGGACAGACGACCGGGGCTGGACGAGGCGGCAGCGAGGCGACGGCGGTGGCGGTGGCGGTGGCGGTGGCGAGGCGAGCAGCGACGATCCTCTCTCCCTCTTTCTCCTCTGTTCTTCCTCCTCTCTTCTTCCTCTCTTCTCTCCCTCTTTCTCCTCTGCTTCTTCCTCCTCTCTTCTCTCCCTCTTTCGAACCAATTCGAGCCATTGGATTCGAGTTACGACTCATTTCCGATAATGTTTTCATACATATATAGCATGTCCATATATATAACTAAGATGAGAGTATTTTTTGATGTGACAATTTTTTTTTTCAAAATTGTCTCTCTCCTTAAATTGGAGGGAAATTTAAAATTACAATGATACATTTTTTTTAAAAACAGATCTTTTTCCAAAATAGAGTTTTCAAATCACTTTTTAAAAAAATTATTCAAAAAAATTGGAACCACACATGGTTAATAATTTTTTCTTTAAACTATTGCACTGTAGTGATAGTAAACCGAACACAGCCTATAGATTGCAACAGTTTAAGAGACCTTGTCATGCCTTTTTTGGATTTCAGAATAAGCTAGATCATTTTTTAATGACTAACCACTGAGTTGTTTTTGTTCGTTTTGATTTCAGAACAAAATGTACTATTCTCTCCAAATTTTTTGTAAAACCAATGCTTGGTTTAAATTTTTTGAATTAAGTTTTTTAAAAATTGAGTTTTTAGTTTTCGTGTTTTTGTGTTTTTAGTGAATATTTTTAAAATTTTAAATATTTTTTTTATTTTTTAAGATGCACCTTACTTTTTAGATGTATCTAAAAAGTAAAAAATTTGTGAAAAAATATTTTTAAAAATTAATAAATGCATAAAAATATAAAAAATGTATTGAATTCTCGTATTTTTTTTTGTATTTTTGGTATTTAATGAATTTTTAAAAGATTTTTTTTTAATTTTTAATTTTATTTTTTAGGTATATCTATGTTAGGTATGTTTAAAAATTAAAAAAATTGCTCAAAATATTAAAAAAAATTTAGTAAAAACAAAAAAACACGGAAAATAAAAAAATAATTTTTTTTGAAAAATAATAGCCAAGCATTGTTTTTGTTATTTTTTTGGCTATTGTAATCAAGTGTTTCTTATTCATTGGTGTTTCTTGTTTTTCAATTGGGAAAAAACGAAGGCAAGCAGCACTTTATATCTGTTATTATGGCTTTTGGCTGTTCGGTTTGTTGCTTTTCATATGGCGAAGCAAAGGCAAGCAACACTTCATACCAATGGTGACTTTTGCCAATCGCAATTGTTGTGATTTTTCAAGGCAATGTGGCTGCATGTTATGATTATAAGTGGAGGGCATTATGGGAGTGAGAAAAAATAGAAAACAATCCAAAGTTTTCAGCTTTTTAAAATAGTAGTAGATAGTAGAATATTATTCATAAAGATTTTTTTTAAAAAGTATTTACCCCTCATTTTGATAACGAGAAAAATCTTGAAAGTTTTTAGATGTGTTTTGTGGTTGTTGAACGATAAATTGTGACTAGTAATGATACTGATAAATGATTAGGACAATACAAATTTTATTTGTGAGTTTTGATTTATTTTTAATTTATTTGTGTTAATTTGTATTGAAATATGATGCGAAAGTGTAAATAATTTAGGGGAATTTATTATAAAAAAATATGTTTTTACAATGATAATGATAAATAAAGTCAATCCACATGATCGACTTGTAATTACCATTTTTATTTTATGTTATTAATTTAATGGGTTTCGTATAGTTTTTATTTTGTTATTTATTCTTGAAAATTTAATATATGTATATATATATAATTTTGAAATTTTTTTTGATTTCTTTTTTTTTGAAAACTATTTCTGAGCAATATTTTTAAACATTCATTTTTTGGAAACAGTTGAAAAATAAAAATAAAAATTTGAAAACATAATTAGGAAATCAAAACTATTTGGCACAGAAATAATTTATCATTCAGGGGTAGCAAAATAATATATGTAATTGTTTGGATAAGAAGTTTAAGAAAAAATTAGAAAGAGAAATATATAGTGACAAACTTGAAAATATGAGGTTTGAATTGAAGAATTTTGTCCCTAATTCTTCATCCTAAATGGTTTTCATTCAAAAAAAATAAAATAAAATCTACAATTCATTTTTAATGGAAATTTCAGAACAAAAAACTTTGCAAGTGCCGTATGAATGTTGGAAATGGAAAGAGAAAGAGAAATGGAGAAAAAAAATTAAGGAAAATGAGTTGGACCCTCTCAAGGAGGCACCCTCTTTGACCCTCCTCTCTCTGATTGGTCAGTTTTTCTTTTTTCTTTTTTCCTTCTCCTCTAATCACCACCCACCACGTGTGTGTGGGGTTGGTGATTGAAGGGGATCTCAATCACTTCTCAAAAATTAATTTATATTTCATGAACATCTCCCTCACACTTTCCTTTTATCATTGTTTTTTCAAATCTCTAACTAAATTAATCCAAATACAGCGTAAGAATTCATAAGGCACTCTTTTTTTTTTCTTAAATAACAAAAAAAAAAAAACTCTTTAAACAATAACTTTACTGTAAAAAAGTTACTAAGAAAATAAT